CAAGCCGTACTGCGCAGCAGCTGTGCGACCTTGAGAGAGTGAAGCCACAACCTCCACCCTCCCTCCCATTAGGGTTAGAACCTGTTCAGTCCTGTCTAGGAGTTGCTAGAGTGATTAGTGAACAGAAGGTACTGCGGAGCGTGGAACAATGAATTGTGATCAAATTCCTCGTAGGAGAAAACATCCCGTCCACTGAAATTCACCACAGACTCCAACAACAGTATGGGGAAGAGTGTCTCTCACGGACCCATGTGTTTGAGTGGTGTAAGTGCTTCAGAGAGGGCAGAGCGCGCGTGGAGAATGAACCGCATGATTGTCGGCCGCGAACATCCGTCACCAAGCCAAACACTGATCATGCAGACACCCTTATTCGTGAGAATAGGCTCATCACTCTCAAGGAACTTAGAACAATGCTATCCATCAGTGTTGGTAGTGTAGAAGACATCCAGAAATACCATCTGCACTATCGCAAGGCGAATGCACGGTGGGTACCACGCACTTTGACGGACGTGAACAAAATGGTGCGCAAGCAAGTCGCCAGTTGTTTCCTACAGCAGTTTGAATGCGAAGGTGATGCATTTTTTAAGTCTATAGTGACCACCGATGAAACGAGGGTGCACTACTTCATTCCCAAATCCCAGCGGTCATCACGCGAGTGGCGGCATACCAGTTTTCCCAAACCCAAGAAAGCGCGGAGGAGCCGTTCGGCAGGAAAAGTGATGGCAACGCTCTTCTGGGACTGGCAGGGGGTTATCCATGTAGACTTTCTGACAGATGCCAGAACAGTCAATGCAGCTTATTACTCAGACCTCCTGGCAACAGACGTGAAGGAAAAGATCCGATCCAAGCGGAAGATACGTGAAAAGCGGGTAGCCCTCCTTCAAGACAATGCACACCCCCATACGGCCAAAACAACAATGGAAACCCTCCGGAAACTGAAATAGAACCTTCTGACGCATCCGCCGTACAGTCCCAATTTGGCTCCAAGTGATTTCTACCTGTTCGGAAGGCTCAAATCAGACCTGCAAGGCATGCGGTTTGTGGACGATGCCGTCATCCAGACTGTTGGGGAGTGGATACGCCTCCAACCACAAGTCTTTTGAAAAGGGCATCAGGATGTTTCCAGAACGTTGGAAAAAATGTGTTGACTCCGGAGGGGAGTATGTTGAAGACTGGTTTGTGCAAGTAAGTATTTGGCAATTTTGTTTTTTTTTTAATCAGTCCCGGTCATATTTGAACCACCTTGTATATAGGGTCAGTGCTGTTAGGCAGACAGAAATCCATACAGCTGAGCCGTTAATACCTGATCCTAGCCCTTTTGAGGTTCAAAGTCAAATTGCAAAATTGAAACGGTATAAATCGCCAGGTAGTGATCAAATTCCGACAGAACTTATTCAAGCAGGAAGCGAAATATTACGTTCTAAGATCCACAATATAATTACTTCTATTTGGCACAAGGACAAATTGCCTGATCAGTGGAAGGATTCTATTATTGTACCAGTTTACAATAAGGGTGATAAAACTGACTGTAGTAATCATCGGGGGATATCTCTGCTATCAACTTCATATAAAATTTTGTCCAATATTCTTCTCTCAATGTTAAGTCCATATAGAGATGATATTATTGGGGATCATCAGTGTGGGCTTCGAAGTAACAGAACAGATATTTTGCATACGTCAGATATTGGAGAAAAAATGATGAGACAGTACATCAGCTATTCATAGACTTCAAGAAAGTCTATGATTCAGTTAGGAGGGAAGTATTGTACAATATTGTGATAAAGTTTGGAATACCCAAGAAACTAGTTAGGTTCATTAAAATGTGTTTAAACGAAACGTATAGCAAAGTCCGTGTAAGTAAACATTTGTCTGATAAATTTCATATCTAGAATTGTCTAAGGCAAGGAGATGCTTTATCGCCACTTCTTTTCAACTTTGCTTTAGAATATGCCATTAGGAAGGTCCAGGGATACCAGGTGGGACTGAAATTAAATGGAACACATCAGCTGTTGGTCTACGCCGATGATGTGAATCTACTGGGTGATAATGTAGATACCATAAAGAAAAACACAAACTTTAACTGGCAAGTAAAGAGGTTGGTCAAGAAGTAAACACTGAGAAAACTAATTATATGTTACTGTCTTGTCACCACAATGCAGGGCAAATAATGACAGGAAACAGATGTTTTGAAAATGTGGCACAGTTCAGATATTTGGGAACAACGATAACAGATCAAAACCTGATTCAGGAGGAAATTAAGAGAAGACTGAACTCGGTTAATGCTTGCTACCATTCAGTCCAGAACCTTTTGTCTTCTCCTCTGCTGTCCAACAACATAAAAATTAGAATATACAAAACTATAATTTTGCTTGTGGTTCTGTATGGGTGTGAAACTTGCTCTATGACATTAAGGGAGGAACACAGACTGAGGGTGTTCGAGAACAGGGTGTTGAGGAGAATATTTGGACCGAACAGAGATGAAGTGACAGGAGGTTGGAGGAAGCTGCATAATTAGGAGCTTCATAACTTGTACTCTTCTCCAAGTATAATTAGAATGATCAAGTCAAGGAGGGTGAGGTGGGCAGGTCATGCAGCACGAATGGGGGAAACGAGGAATGCACATAGGATATTGGTGGGAAAGCCAGAAAGAAAGCGACCACAGGGAAGACCAAGGCGTAGGTGTGTGGACAATATTAGAATGGATCTTAGAGAGATCGAATGGGATGGTATGGATTGGATAGTTCTGGCTCAGGATAGGGACAAATGGATGGTTTTGTGAACACAGTATTGAACCTTCGAGTTCCATAAAACTCTGGGAAATTCTTGAGAAGCTGCTGAATTGGCGGCTCCTCCAGAAGGGCTCAGCTCCATGAGTAAGTAAGTAAGCATTTTTTTATTGCTAGTGGGGTGGGACTAAGTCCCTTGTACTGTGGCCACTTCTGGACTATTGTACCAGCCCCAGATGATAGGTGAGGGTGATTCTGGAGCAATTGGTGGAATGAAGACTGGCAGGGGAAACCGAAGTACTCGAAGAAAATCTGTCCCTGCGCCACTTAGTCCACCACAAATCCCACCTGACCATACCCAGGATCGACCCCAGGCCGCCGCGGTGGGAAGTAAGCGACTAACCGCTTGAGCTATGGCGCAGCCAAGTAAGTAAGTAACTATGCCATAGCGCTTCCACTTTTCCACAGAACCATTCAACGTTTAAATAATTTCTTCTTTATAATCATCTCTTCTGTTCTTTCCCATTTCCGAGCCATACCTTCGCCATTTATCTCTGATTCTCTTTTATGGTTGCCATCAGTCATTAACAATTCGCATCCTTTAGTTGAACACAGTGTCACAGTTTAACTACTTCACACTACTTCTTGACATGCACCATCATGCAGAGTCTGCAAGCAGCTGCTGCACACCCACACAAATTAATTCCTTGAATTACTGGCATTTATTTAAGTTTTTGCCTATTATTAATTACTGATCCTTTAGAAAACTGTATCAGCATAGATTAGACAAATGTTATGCAATAAAAATTCAAGAAACAAATTAAATCAAAGTAGGAAACATGATCAAAATATAAAATAATAATGTATTTAAACCCTGAAGTATAATTAAATTAACTTAACTGTAGTGTATAGTCTCTTACATGTGGTAGAAACAAGCCCTATTAACATCTAACAGAACATTTCTGTTTATGAGCTTATTTTCTGAGATAAGTTCCTGTTCTTGCCTATTTCATTCACAACAATGTTATGTCTTCCTTTTATAGTGTCAAGTGGTGACTACTGCTTGTCAAAGCAAAACTAATTAGAATGTATTAACAGTAAACAGTGACAAAACAGCAATAGCTGGGCTTGTAGAAAAGATTTCAATTTGACATAAACTGGCTTATAATTTGAATTCAAACAACTAATTTATGATTTTGCTACTCTCAATGCTAGGACGGTGCACAAGAAGTATAGCATATTTGTGATATCACTGTACAGGACCCTCCATGGCTGCAGCAATTGCCTTATCCTTGTGATGGGTCTTTTTATCTCGGCAATTGAAAATTCCAATATAAAATACTCTGGAAACAGTCTTTCAATGATGTCTGAACTGAAAATTTTCATGCCTAAAGAATATAACCAAAACAAGACCACTCTAACCACTGGTCAGTGACACCTTAACAGTGGCTGTGCCTCTTCGCTTAGTACTGCTAACGCAATATGCATGGGGAAACATGAAATGCCACACAACTTTTCACTGGAGAAATCAATGGAAGAGAAACACACAACCAAGAGAGCAGCACGCCCAATGGGGTACAGAGCGGTTGCAATACAAAAGATCGGAAGAACACACATCCTATAACACCAAAATTAATAATAACAACAACAATGTACTTTAGGAGTATTATATGACAAAGTGCACAGTGCAGTGGATTCTTTAAAAATGTGTTGCCTGTAGATGACCCTGTGTGGCTGAAACAGGTAGGGCATAAACACAGAAAGTATATATACTATATTTTAAGGACTTTTTAAACATTTTAACGAATATTTTTGTGAATTAAATGTGGATTAGCGTCATCTAAATCTATACTGATATGTTGCATTATAGACAGAAGAAGACTACAAGGAAAGAGAAAATATAGGTATAGAGGAAAGGACAATGATGTAATGGATCTTTGAGAAATAGGCTGGAAGATAAAATATTGACTGACATGACACTGGATGAGTTCAATGGCAGGTGTACGTGTATGTGAACACAATGATGAACTATAAGGTTGAAGACACTATTTTCTGGGATGTGATGCCTGCATTCTAGTAGATGTTCACCAACGTTCTGAAGGAAAGTACTCTCTCAATCTTCACGGTCAAAGCATAAGGAGCCTGCTGCTTACCACTTGCTTCTTTGCTTACTTTCTGGCCCTGAAGATGGAAGTAGAGTAAGCTTCTTGAATAAACTCAACAACCATCAGTTGTGGTTATCATGCACGATGAAGCTGCTCTGTGTCAACTCACCATGGGTCTCTTCCATTCGATGGGTCGGGGCGGAGTCTTGCTGAAATATATTGATGAGTCCTCTGCGGGAAATTCGGGGTCCTCGAAGAGTGTCCCTTCCTCCAGGCATTGGTCACGAATTTTAAAAAAGTCCTGCACCTGTCCTCGAGCCCTCAGCCCTGAGCCCTTTTCTCCAAGCTGAAACAAGAGACAAGGTTTCGTACTACTAACGACACTAGAATTATAAAGCGTCAAGAGGATGATGGTGACTACATATGGTAAATATTGCAGCGTGTAGAGCCGTTACTGCGTAACAGCCTCGAAACAAACAATGAAATAGCATTCTGCTAGGAACGAGATTTTCAATAAGCACTGCTAGGAACGAGATTTTCAATAAGCACTGCTAGGAACGAGATTTTCAATAAGCAAGTATACGCAGCTGTTTGGGTAACGCCTTCGCAAACAAACAAGTTCCCACGAAACACTGGAGTACAACAATGAATGATGTTTTAAACGCGGTCCGTACCGATATGTTATAACCGAGACAAGTTCAGATGTTAAAAATAATTGCTAGTGGGGTGGGACTACGTCCCTTGTACTGCGGCCACTTCTGGCCTATTGTACCAGCCCCAGATGATAAATGAGGGTGATTGTGGAGCAATTGGTGGAATGAAGATTGGCATGGGAATCCGAAGTACTCGGAGAAAACCTGCCCCAGCTCCACTTTGTCCACCACAAATCCCACTTCACCAGACCCGGGATCGAAACTAAGTTCAAATGTTAGTCAGTTGTAAAAGTCAATTGTAACGGAGAGTGTGAAGTAAAGAGTTAGTCGGTGCAGTTTGAAGCTGAAGAATCTCCACTGTTAGAAGCCGTTACCAGGGAACAACTACTTGAGAATGTACCTGACTAAGAACATTAGTCTGTGTGTCCTAGTGATTTGTAAAGTGTGATGATCAGCTATGGCACTATAATTAAGTGTTCGCACGAGTCGTGTGTTAAAAGTGGTCAGTAAATCCAATCTCCAATCCAAAACCCCGTCGAGAGTCACTGTAACACGTGCAATATAAAGAAAGTAACCGTGACATGTTTGCTAGGCAATATCCGGGGACGTGAACGTGGCATATTTCATAGCCATTATCTCGACATTCGCCGGGAATGACTCTGGAATGCCACTCTGAAACCAGACCACTTCCCCGACTGCCTGTCTGTTTCCAGTCTAGGGTGTGGCTGCACGTAACGTGCGTGCTAACTAGAATCTAAGTTCGTGATCTGTTCGTAACAGGTCCACACGAAGTAAAACGACATGCTCGCAAACAGCTCGTCGATAGTTGGTCTGCTGCAGTTAGCAGAAATTTGCACTTTTGTTTAGATATTAAGCCTTCGCATGGGTCCTTCCGTAGTGTACCAAAATGATACATATTTTCCGCTCTACTTCGTAGGGTGACACCTTCAACGCTACTGATATTCGTTTAAACGTATCTTGTTTGTTTTGTCTTGTAGTTTTCATTTCTTGGGGTCCCACAAGTTCGCGTATTGACCACACTGTTGAATCAAGCTGACCACCTCTGTGGTCTAGTGGTCAGAAGTCCTGCCTACAGATGTCAAGGTCCCGGGTACAATTCCCGGCACTACCAAATTTTCTGAGAAATAGTGGGTCCGGAACGGGGTCTCTTCAGCCTCGTGGGGATCCGTTGCGCTGACCACGCGACACCCTCTGTTCGCAAAAGTTGACACTAATTTCGCCGACAAACCGCAATCGTTCGGTCGGTATAGTTCACTTGCAGACTAAAGGCCACGGAGTTTTTTACTTTAGCTGAATCAAGATCACGACATCGTCCTCAAATCACTTCAAGTTTTTGGCCTACTTTCCTAAAATAAAGAACCAATCTTTACAAAACTTTGTATGGATACCTTGTGAACTGTTCCCATCTCAGCAGCGGCGTACTTCATAAACCTGCGCCCTCAGTCTGTCTGCCTGTATTTGTATCCCTCCTATCGCTGTTAATCCTACATGAAATAAGAAAACGGAAGGCTAATTGGATTGGTCATGTTTTACGCAGAAACTGCCTTCTAAAAGAAGCTATCGAAAGAAAGATAGATGGGCGGATAGAAGTGACAAGAAGACGAGGAAGAAGACGTAAGAAGATGCTGGATGACCTTGGGGACAGAAGAGGATACTGTCATTTGAAGGAGAAAGCTCTAGATCGCATTAAGTGGAGGAATTGTTTTGAAAGAGACTGTGGACCTGTCGTCTTCACAGATTACTGATGATGATGATGATCGCTGTTATGCAAAGGCTCGGTAAAGTGTATCTCTCCTTTCATTGCTAGGTAATGGATCGGTAAACACGTTCCCGCGGCAACGAATGTACCCAACAACAGAATTGTTGGACGCGTCTTTACCTTTGAGGTCGATATCTTATTGATGGAGATTTTGTGTGTTCTATGCATCAACCTGTCGTTGTTAGGTAACAACTAGGTACAAACTTTTCCTACGCTGCTGCACTGCGTCAAGGCAATGAACACAAACAACCAAATGCTCTGCAGACAGAGGAGAAAAGCATCCGGAACCCCGTCCAGCAGTATCTACCACAACAGGAATTTCAGAAAATAGGTATCAGTACATGCTCCCAACTCGTGTAACACTAACTCTGTAGTCACTATAGTGCATCAGATCATGACACAGCTCAGTGGAGCTGTGTCAAAAGAAGACAGAGTAACTGTCATTATAAAAATTGTACTGTGACATGTTGCGCAACGGAGAACCCCCCCCACCAGCAGTGACGCGGCGGGTGAGTCAGCGCTCCCCTCCCCCCTCCGCACGGTAACGTAACGCGCAACGCGCGGTGACGTAACAGGATTACGTGGCACTCATTATGCAACAGGTAAGCACTGCGGCTATATAAGGGAACTGCACAGCAGCCTGCGAGTTGAGTGGTAATGTGGCCATCGCCGAAGACAGTTCCGAGTTAGTTCCGAGCAAGCCTACGAGCGAGTGTGTTATCAACAGTTCTCCAGTCAGCCGACAACAGTTGGAGTATAGCAGCGTTGCGGAAAGAAGAACCGGACGTGTGTAATTGTGTAATTGGGAGTGTGTGTGATACAGTGATACACAGCTCCCCTACTGTAAACATGTACTCTACTGAAGACAGAGTGAGCTGATTTGCGAATAGGGTTATAAATCGTGAAACCCCGCAACAGTGTTAACAGATTAATGCGATTAGGGTTATAAAGTGTGAAACCCCGCAATATTGTTGTAATTAACTGTAGCCGTGATTTGTAGGTTGTTGAATAAACCAATTAACGATCCGAACGGCGTCTTCAGTAACGAAACACTAACACTGGTGTCAGAAGTGGGATTTGGACTTACACACGTGACCGACGAGATTCGAACTCAAGACACGTGACAATTTGGTGTCAGAATTTTTACGAGCTTAAATACGCCTCAGATAATTTTACTGCTACAGAATGGAGATGCAGCAGATGATGGAACTTCTGCTGAAGGAAATCAGAGCTGGCCAAGAAAAAACAAATATGATCCTGAAAGAGGCAGAAGCCAATAGAAAAGCCGACATGGAAAAAATGGAGGCCGATAGGAAGAGAGACAAAGAAGATTTAATGGCAAAATTAGACGCCTACCAAGAAAAGGCGGCGGCCGATAGAAAGGCCGACAAGGAAGAGATGAAGGCCGAAATGCGATCTATGCCGTCAGAGTTGGATGAGACACTCCAACATAAAATTGAAGCAATCAGAACAAGGATGGTAGGACAAGAAGAGGTCCCTGTAGACGACGTCGCAGTGATACCGGTCAGTGAACCTGAATATGAACNGAGACAGCAAATACAACGCAGAAATGAAGTGAAGGACCTAGGCGGCGGACAGCCGCGATATGTGAAGGAAGCAGAACTGAGAAAAACTGCAAGACTGCAGATCGCCAAGCGAGTAGCCGGATTTTCTGTCGGATTACGACAAAACAAGGAATGGACCTTATGGAGGGGTTGACCCCCTCCAAAGCGGAAAAAGAAACAACGGATCGGGGAAGAACCGGTAATGTAGAAGTACCGACCTCCCAAGGAAGAGTGAAAGTGATGGATGAATGGGACACAACTGGATCTTCTGGCGAGCTGAAAGGAAACCGCTCCAGACGAGATGGTCTTAAGTAGGGAGCGGTTGTAACGGCCGGAGAACAGATGCTGCAAGAACAGCCTCCGAAGCAAAGGAACGGGGATGCACCGTTAGGCTATTCGGGACGAACAGCCTTAAGGAGGGAGCAGTGTGACATGTTGCGCAACGGAAACCCCCCACCAGCAGTGACGCGACGGGTGAGTCAGCGCTCCCCTCCCCCCCTCCGCACGGTAACGTAACGCGCAACGCGCGGTGACGTAACAGGATGACGTGGCACTAATTACGCAACAGGCAAGCACTGCGGCTATATAAGGGAACTGCACAGCAGCCTGCGAGTTGAGTGGTAATGTGGCCATCGCCGAAGACAGTTCCGAGTCAGTTCCGAGCAAGCCTACGAGCGAGTGTGTTATCAACAGTTCTCCAGTCAGCCGACTACAGTTGGAGTATAGCAGCCGTCGCGGAAAGCAGAACCGGACGGGTGTGTAATTGGGAGTGTGTGATACAGTGATACATAGCTCCCCTACTGTAAACGTGTAGACTACTGAACACAGAGTGGGCTGATTTGCGCATAGGGTTATAAATCGTGAAACCCCGCAACAGTGTAAACAGATTGATGCGATTAGGGTTATAAAGTGTGAAACCCCGCAACTGTGTTATAAATAATTGTAGCCGTTACTTGTAGGTTGTTGAATAAACCAATTAACGATCTCTACGGTGTATTCAGCAACCCAACACGTTACAGTACTTTATGCAACAAAATGGCTGCTCGAGTTCACAGACAGCTTAAAGTCATAGCATTTAATGTAAATGACATTTGGAGACAGCGCCATGAGCTCAGTAAACGGCTCCACGACTTACACATAGACGTGGCTCTTCTCTCAGAGACACATCTCAAACCTCATGAGAAGTTCTTTATTCCAAACTATCACTTCTATCGTACTGACCGCTTCCCAGGAAGAAAAGGCGCCACTGCCGTTGCAGTAAGAAAATGAATTCCCCACAACCACGTAGACCTGCCTCCGCTTGTTTCAACACAAGTGACAAGGGTTTGCATACTGATTTGTAATAGTG